ATCTTGTATCAGGACCGATACTGGATACTAGCGTTTAAACATACCGGACAAGATTAAAAACTTTTACATGACAGACATACGAGAAACAACGATATGACAAAGAGCAGGATGACGTAATACAGACGAGGTTTGTGGTTGGCTTAGCAGCAAACATAGAGAGATCATCGCGCGCACCAGCGGCAACTAGTTGGAGTGCTGTTCTTCCCGATTAGGAATGCATGCCGTCATACATCTGGGCCTAGTGTAGCGCCCTATATGTGCGCGATACCGTGCGGTGACTTTTCCTCCCCCCCCTCTCTTCCCTAATACCATTCCTTGTTCATTTCTTTTGAGTGAAAATAGCCAAGATTTTCTAACGGAGCACAACATATTTACAGATGATAACTAAAACAATTGCAAATTTTCCGTGAAATCAGCCTCATCCCTTCATACAAAGCCACTGAAATTATAGTCGATATCATCCAGTAAGGTGATATCGAAGGGCACTGGGGCTATTCGACGACGTTTCCTGCTATCACGTACCTCCGATGCCACTTCCAGTGCGTATCTCTCAATAATCTGAAATATGAATACGTTCACACCAGATGAACTACTGAAAACACCGAACAAAAATGGAAAATGGAAGGAGAACCCACCTTTTTTTCATCCAAGGGATTCAGTTGGGGATTTTTCGATGGGGTACGCATGAGACGGATCTTTTTGTTGTTCGCCGCTTTTGCATTTGCCTTCTGCCTCTCCCGTTCTTCTTCTTCACGAGCACGGCGAGTTAGTCGTCCATCTGACTTGGAAATCTCATCTAGAAAAAGTGATAGATGGAACAGCCTAGGCATGCAGACAGAATATCCTCTTTTTACTCATTCCAATGCATTGTTGTTACTCTTCCTGAATTCTAAATCCCACGATTAAGAAGTTGCACCATTACAGGTTGACAGGTTTGTTTTTTTTAGTAGTGTAGCTGTAAAATACCCCTCTAGTAACAAAGCTCCACAAAACAAACTGAAAACAACTAAAACGTCATTACAGTCAAGGTTTAACCAATGGCCGCTACATGTTTGAAATGATAGTGTGAAGAATTTGCATGAAAGCGATTTCACTAGTGAAGACGACAACTGTACTACACACAGGGAGAGCGAGCTTATCGAACGTTGTACAACAGTACTGCTGCAATCTTCAAAAAGAGACACAGTGTTGAGCGATATAACACAAGTCAAGCAAAAAACGCTGGTGGTTGTAAACGAGCTCTCGCAAGCGAAACCAGCATAGCTTGCTGACATCTTTCAAATCTTAAATGCAGGTTTTTTACAGCAGGAGAAGCTGCGAACAAACTTACTGTTATTTCGAAGTGCTACGCAACTGAGAACTTCTGATTTCAATCTTATCTGCTTCTGGAAATCCACTAGAGTTTCGACCACAGATGCTTGTCTAGAGCTAAAACATTGAACTCATAGATCAAAATCAGTATCAAAAAGCAAAACTTACTTGGCAAGATACTTTGCAGACTGATATTCAGTGCCTTCATGGTATGAAAGTGGTTTGTAGAGAATTTCATCTTCGTCGATTCCACAGTCATCCAAAAGTCTGAAATTCGATAAGTGCGCTCACTGTACCATTTCAACACAAACCAACCCAGAATACAATTCAGAAATTAACTGTTCGAGAAGATCTTCACACTAACATTTAAGCTCGACAAGGAAGGATAGGAAACAGAGAAAAAATCAAAGAGGTGGGAGCGAAACCGATTTGGCTTTCAGGTTTGATACTTACTTCTTACACATGCTTCTCGTTGCTCGTGTCTCATCGATCAACAGTTTTGCGCCTGCTACAGCAGCAGCATCATAGTTCAGTTCTGTTCTTCCGTTTGCATCAAAACCATCAGGATTGCTTAACTGACGACGTACTTCTTCACGCCTCCTCATGTATTCCTCCTCCGTCTCTACCTGAATCAAAAGGAAGATCCGAGGTAGTTCTCAAGGAAAGAATATCACGACATTGATCTAGACCTCGTTGTCGAAACCACGCAGTTCAACAGCCGACAGCTGGTCCACGGCATCTGACAGAATATCTTCACGTAGCTCATCAAGCTTAAAACACCACATCAAAAGGATAACATGAAACAACTAGAAATAGTCTGAAGAACGTCAGGAGAGCGTCCATACTCGCGATTTGATCGCGCCACCAATTCGTAGGCGCGACCAACGGAGAACTGTGAACGCATCTATCAGCTCTTAGACCCATTCAACAACACCGCGCGTTCGATGCACAGTCAGGAATGCGTATATATGGAATGCATATGTTTTGCTACATTTTGCTACCCATGTCATACTTCTCGACACTAGAAAGCAGAAAGTTAAAGGTTAGTCCTTCATCTTTTACAATTTGATCACCAGTTGCATGTTATGTCTGATGGCAATTTTTGCTGCCATAACTCCAACATTATATTATTATCCCTTTCCTCAGCTAAAGAAGAATGATCATAGAAAGATTGACACCAACTTTTCTTGCAAGCGTGGCAGGTGAAAACGGTCGGTCGAATTGTGAGGTAATGTTGGCAGATTCGCTCGATCTTCTCCTCTGAATGAATACCAATAAAACATTGAAATTAACCCATAAGCATTGTTTTTATACCAAATCATTTGACAAAAGTCATGCATCGGTAATTAGTTCCCGTAGTTTATGAGAATCATCTGTTCTCATGCTGCATGCGGTTTTAAGTACGATCTTTCA